ATCTCCAATCTCCATTGCTTTGGAGCAACCTAACTTGTATTGAAAACAGAGATCAAGTAAATTCAACTACACAACTGTAATATATAAAGTTACCTTAATTTGCATTTACTATAGCACCTATCTAACTCTATAATAAAGCAACAAAATTTTGCCAATCATTTTTTCCTGCCCATTGGACAAAACGCCGTTGTGCATTTTTATGCAATGATTGTTTCCCGCCCAAGTTAAACTACGTCGTTTTGCAAAAATGTACATGATATAATATCTGGTTCTTTGAATTTGTACGCGTGCCTATTGTCTTTTCGTTTTAGCCGTTTTCTTTATGACAACTCTTCGTATTCTGAAGTGAATATAATTGCTTGAACACTAAAGTCCTTTCGTCTCAAGAAAGCCATTTAATGTAGAACACTTGGTACTTTAAACAACATCATTATCATGCTCAGATAACCAATGGTTGAATAAACAAATGGTAACATAATATATATATATATATATATATATATATATATATATATATATATATATATATATATATATACAAAGAAGACGCAGAGTTGCATTCTGCAATTAATACATTTTGAAAACTTGTGTCTTTCCCATACACAAGCGGCTGATCATTCATTTGAATAATGCAACGCTTCAAGGTCTATAAATAATCCTCTTATTGGTGTAAAATATTCTTGCCACTCGAAAAACTGATTGCTTACCGCCCGATTCTAATATCAGGAAGTTTAACAGAATGCCATCAATGTTCATACTTGTGAAGGACATTAAACCACAACACCAACTCAGGGTAGTTCGTGTTAGAGCAGTCAGAGTATTTGAAGTTCCAGAGAAACGGGGAGAGGGTAACAGCAGTAAGAGTATGGAAGTACTAATGCGTGATGAAGAGGTAATGCTATCTATTTTTGTTCCTTCATCTAACTGATTTCTATTTTTGTCCCTTCATATATCACTAATCTGTGTTTTTTTTTTTTTTCAGGGAAGCTATATTCATGCTAGCATTCTAAAAAAAGATGTGGTGAAATATAGAGAGATATTCAAGGAAGGAAAACTGTACGAAATAAAAAATTTCATTGCTGCGACAAATTATTATGTGTACAAGATTACACAGCATCCATATATGATCAAATTGAACTACAAGACAGAAGTGAAGGAGATAAACTCTTTAGGATTTCCTTTTAAAATGTTTCGATTAAAGAGTTTCAGTTCTTTAAAAGACACTGCAGATGTGAACGACAAGGAACTTATTGGTACAATCTCTTCATTTCTCTCTTTTTTTTTTTTTTTTTTTTTTTTTTTTTAATATCCTATGTTAAGCTGAACTGCTAACAACTTAATGAAAAATTTTCATTTGCCAGATGTTATTGGTCGAGTAATTGAGATCTATAATCCTGTGGATAAGATTATAGGTGGAAAGGCAACCAAACTGATTGACTTTCAAATTGAGGATAATCTGTAAGTACTAATTTATTCCTGTTTTTTCCTATTAACATCTACTCAGACTTATTTTTTTCTGTTTTTTTCCTATCAGTATTGACTTTATTATACTGACATAAATTGGTTTTGGTTTCTACTACTATCATTGCAGTGAGAACACACTGCCATGTACTCTATGGAATGAACATGTTGCATCACTCCTGCCGTATTACAATTGTGATTCAATAGAACCACTCATTGTTGTGATTTAGTGCTGTCGTGCTAAGTTGGTTAGTGGTGAGTTTTTATCATCCTTCCCATTCTAGCAGCAAATTACTCATTCCAATCAACTAATGTTTTTTTTTTCCAGGTGATGTTAGAATCACCAGCTCATATGATGCTACCAAGCTATGGTTTAATGAAGATTTTGAGGAATTTCTAGACTTCAAGTCGAAGTAAGTACACTAATGTAATTCTATAATGTTATCTGTAAGTAAGTTAAATATTGCATCACATTTTATATAAAAGGCATCAGATTTAGTTGCTGGAAGTAATAAGCACTAAGTCAGATTTAAAAACTTAGTATGAAAGGCATCAGATTATAATTTCATCACATGCCTATTTTCTGGAAAAAAAGTTAGTATAAAAGGCAAATAGACAGTTAGGCATATTGGCAAATAGGCCTGAGATTTAACTTTAATCACATTCCACAATAATAAAGCAAGTGAACCTTATTTCAGTTAAGTATGGGCCTGAGATTTGTTTTTAGTCATATGCCAATATTCTGGACCCAAAAAAGATATTATAAAATGCAAATAGGCAATTAACTAACACACATTACTTACTATTTTGAGAAATAGGCAGATTAGAATCAATCATTCATGTATTCGCATCATATGTTGAGAAATAGGCAGATTTAAATTTCATACACAAGTCTGGGCATCAGAATACAGTTTAATCACATGCCACAAAAATTTTACTGAGTATTTTTATTTCAGTAAATGATGGGCATGAGTATTTATTTTCATCACATGCCCTTGGAAAAAAAAGTTAGTATAAAATGCAAATAGGCAATTATCAAACACCAATTACATGTTTTTTTTGGCAAATAGGCATATTACAATCAGGCCACTTTGTTTCATTTGTTCAACTATTGGCATACTTTTATAATATATGTTCACATACCAAATATCTGCCAGTCAATATAATGCATGATGTTGCTAATCGCTGTTTTTGTTTAAAATGTTTATGAAGCATGAAATCTGAAAAAACTCCCATGAAAAGTTTGAGTACGGGGACTCTGCACTCACAGGATGCTGGCATTAGTGACTTTAAAAGTGGTGGACTCATTGTGACTACCTGCGACGACCGTAAGAAGACACGAGTGGTAAGAAACAGAAACTACTTTATTGACTGTTTATTTAAGATCTGAGTTCCTATGTATGTTCTATAATTAATTTTTTTACCACTGTAGGATGGGGAATACTATGTTGCTACTGAAATCTTGGGTTTAGATCTTGATGATGGGTGGTACTATGTGTCATGCATGTCAGCTGGCTGTAATAAGAAATTAAAAGAAGATGGAGGATCACTTGTGTGCACTAAGTGTCATAAGCCATATACTATGGGTACGGTCAGGTATAAGGTGGTCATCATTGCTTTAGACAAGAGTGGAGATGCTCCACTATTGCTTTGGGACAGAGAAGTTGCTGAGCTGGTTGGAATTCCTGCATGCCTATTGTATCAGAAATACAAGGAGGTAGATTTATTAGTACTTACATGAACCTATGTTTTAGTTGTAGATGATCTACTGTAATGTACTAACTCAATCCCAATGGCAGACTGGTGTTGAAGTACCCCCCGAGTTGGATGCTATTGAGGGAATGAAGATGTTGTTTAAAGTAGGTTTAAAATTGGCTCTAAGGCGGGGTAAAAATTCTCCTTTCACTGTGTTGAGGCTGTTAAGGGACGAACATTTGGTCCAGACTTATAGTGACAGGTTTGTCGAGCACCAAGAGCAAGATTTAATCTCAAAGGTGCTTGAGGAGGAAACAAACAGTGCTGCAAATTCTGAAGTAAGAATTTCTTACTTAACCTAGATCTATGTTTTTCATTTTTTTATTACCTACTACTAAAACTTACTAATCCATTGTTTTATATACAGGAAGCATCTATAGGAGTAGAGGTTAATAGTCCTGCCTCTATGCAGCCCTCTCAACATGAACCTGATGACACTGTGGTCAACTCCTTAGCTACCAAAAGGTCACTCTTGGATGAGTTTTCCTCATCCAAAAGTCGCAAGAGAACAACAGCCCCCAACATCAAGAAGGAAAAGACAGCTTGAATGAACTTCTACTGTGGAAAAAACAATTGTTACTGTTTTTCGGATGTAGACAATTTGATACAATGTTTTTGTGACCTCTGCCTGATGGATTTTTAATTTGTTGTCCTACTAATTCAACGGCTTTATTTTTTTTGTTTGCTAAGGTTGAAATGCTTTGTTTTATTTATTTTTTTTTTTGAATGCCGCTTTGTTTTATTTGATATAACTGTGTTATGATAATATTACATCTCAAATTGACATATCGTATTAGAAAATGTCTTGCTGTTTTCTTCACTTCGATTTCAGGTGATTTTCCAGAAATGGTGTAGAAGGGAAAACCAAGTTGACAAGCATAGGAACAAAATGTAAGGCCTTAAAATCTAACTACTGCTAGGTATTTGTAACATGAACCTACCAACAGTGTTGAAGTTTGCCAATTTACATAGTTAGAGTTTTCATTCACCTAGACTCCCTATTTTCATACTTTTTCTTTTCAGGTGTGTTACAAACAAGAATGATCCACTCACAAGTCATTAGAAAGAAGGGATCTGGGACAAGTTTTGTATATCACTGATCTGTATTTTGTTTTGTAAAGTGTACTAGGTTAAGTAGTATACTTATACTATTCTGTAAAAATGCATGCTTTTTAATCACATGCCAAGTTTCTAATAAAAAAAACATTAGTATAAGTGCAAATAGGCAATTAAGTAACACACATCCCATGCTTTTTGTATTACACAAGTGTGGGCATCCGATTAAACTTTAATCACGTGCCACAACAAATTTTATTGAACATTTTTATTTCAGTAAACTATGGGCATTAGATTTTTTTTTCATCATATGCCAATTTTTTGGACAAAAAAAGTTAGTAAAGAATGCAAATATGCAATTAACTAACACAGATTACATGTTTTTTTGGCACATAGGCGTATTACAGTCAAGCAAGAAATTTGAGGAAAATAGGCAGACTAGAATACAGATGCTTCTGAATTTAGTAAAGTATTAACTTATAAGATTTGGTAAAATGAAAGTAATACAAACATTTAAGCAAAAAAAAAAAAAAAAAGACCACATTTCCTGAGAATAGTATAAGTATTTCTACTTAAGCATGCAAGCAATACATTTAATTGTATGTAAGACATATAGGACTACAGTTACAGCTATACCACTTAGAATTTATTTTTATATAGATAGTAAGCGTACCTTAATGACCTGCTAAACACTGAAGCATTCTCTCCACATAGATACTTTCCCGTTACTTTCCAGATTTGCTAAACATCACAAAAGCATTCCCTCCACTACAAATACTTTCCCGTTCCTTTCTAGATCTGCTAACCCTCACAAAAGCTGCCTCTCCACTGCAAATATTTCCCCGTTGGATTTCCTGTGCAAGTATAGAAGTCCATAGTTTTATATAAGTATTAAAACTCATCACTGCAACTACTGAAGTATTTGGAAATATATCTGTCTAAAGTACTATATTCAGTGTTACTTCATAAGTCTTTCTTAAAGAATGAGAATGTAACAAGTTATGCAACATTGAAAGTTCAAGTGGTCGACCAAATAATCAAAATGAAGCCTAATATATACTGTGTACTTACGTTTATAAAGTGAATAAAAAAAAAACAAATGCTGTAATTCCCCTCAATTAAAGGCAGAAAATTATACAAATTTACTGACTAGAGTATATTTGAAAAAGACTAATTTTCAGTTTGTATAATGTAAAACAAGTACTAGGATAAAATTCAATCAAAGTTTGTCTCACTATTGCTTTAATCTGTGCAATGACCAAAATTACAAAATATATACCATCATGGGCATAACAACTATTGAAAATACACCAAATCAAGTATATAATGTGAACCTAATCTGTGAGATGAACGACCTTCATTCTTCGTCGTCTACATGCTTGCTTTTGGGTTATTATCTGCTCTCAAATGCCTCTAAGTCATCATTTATTTGCCTATATAAAAAAATGGAACACAGACATTATAGCTTCTGTTAATAACTGCAAACAAATTTTTTTTGGTAGCAAATTAAAAGAAGTAATTAATACAACATAGAAGGTGTGTGAAACTAACAGTTACTCATTGTTATTGAAAAAAACAATGATTTGGATATTAAATACAACAAGTAATTTTTACTATCATTACATAGGATAAAAAACCCTTCATTTCCAGTGCGAATATCAAGAAATCAAAACAGTTAAATTACTTCAGCAAAGCAGTCAGACAATTTCATAGCTCATACAACACATTATATTCATAACTTCTGTTTCAGCAAAAAAAAAATAGACAAGCTAATGAGGCAGATTACCAAGTCAACTATTCTAGGCATCAAAAGGAAATCACAGGAAGAAAACAAAGGTATTTTTGAAACTTATCTTTTTCAGAGTTGCAAATCCCGCTAAAATGAATTCAACAGTCTGCTTAGCTATTTTGTATCTGCTATAGATTGCCTCTCATTGCTCCAAAGTATTGTCCTCTCAGTTTATATGACAAAAAAATTGAACTAGTTAACCAAGTTGTATGTTTAATACTACAATTACATGTTTTACAAAATGAAATTCTAACATTATATATACGAAATAGTCATAGTTCTATAGATTAACAGTAAAACGAAATCAACTTATAACCACAGCTAATATGAATCATTCAATTCTGGAATTAAAGTTCCAGAAATCATATCAGTTTATTAGACAAGATCAATGTGCATGCATAGTCGACTAGAGTATAACATTTTGTATATAAAAACACTAAAAACGAAAAAACCCTAACTGCAATGTTGAAAATACAACTTTCATTCTAACCTTGAATGAGATCAGTAGCTTCAATCTAGGCAGATTTCAACCTCAAATCAAGCTTGATTTCAAAAATCGAACCCAGAAATGACATAGTTCAGACGATATAGGCATAGGCGAGTATCGCGACCTAGACGCGATTTGATAATAAATGTACAAATTCTGTGGCCGTGAAGAGATGAAGGCAAAAGAATCATAGTAGGATGATGTAGGTAGAGGATTGAGAGAGAGAGACCGTGAAATTGTTGAAGAGATTTCGAGCTATGAGATCTGTTCGGACAGAGAGAGGAGAAGGCTGTCAACGCTTCTCCTCATCTTTTATCTCTTCTCAATTGGACCGAAGAAAAATAATATATATATATATATATATATATATATATATATATATATATATATATTGTAATGTTCAGTAATTTATTTCATAAGGTTAGGTTGTTTTATAAAAATTACAAATCTATGTTCTAAAATATTAAAATAAGTTATGTTATGTGTATTTAATTTATAAAATAGATATTTATGATATATAATATTTAATTATGGTTTTATTCGTGGTTCACGGTCAATTGTGGTCCAAGGTACACAACATTTTTTGGTCCATGGACCACCATGTAATTTGCCTTTTAATGTGTGTCTTACTGACACTAATTACATGAATATGTTGTACCGGGTTATAATTGTAAGGGCATTATGTGTACCAAAATCTTAATAAATTTTAAAATACGAGATTTTGATTTTTATGATAATGTTACTCATTGTCCACACAAAATTGTCCAGGATGATCCGCTGCATAAATTTGAATATAATTTATGCCTTTTCAATTATAAAATTGTGTAGACAAAAATTGGAATTAATTATGTGATGTGTAATTAATTGGTAAACTTTCGAATTTTTTTAATTTATTATGTTATGTGTACTTAATTTATAAGTTTGCTACTTATGTTATTTTAATCTTCTGAATAGTACATATTATCAGTAAGTTGATGGAACAACAAATATTTTGTCTTTTAATTTTAACGTTATTTATATCATTTACAAGTTTATGTGGTTCAATTTCAATTTTTTTAGGTTATGTGATATGAATTTATATAATGTCATAATTTTTATTTTTATAATTTGTTATTCTATTTCACAGAAAATACTTGCTTGACTTCCCCAGCAACAAATAATGATTCGCATAATATAGAGCAACCTACAACATTGCGTCGAACACGACCTTCAATTGCAGGGTGTTTGACTGAAAATATCACACCATTGAGTAACATCACAAATGGTAAATCATCTACAATTGAGTGATATACATTGGTTGTGAATGTACATATCCTGTTTATTATATTATGGATCGAATATTATTGTCAAATTATTTAGTTGTATTAATCTGATATAAGGCATCTTTACGTTTATGAATTATATATGATTACAGTAGGTTCTTCCCAAACACACGTAATTTCTTCCAACCGGCAAGGAATTGTTCTTGAAGTGAAACAAAACACAATATCAACCGTACCTGAGTCTTGCTTAACTGTTAACGTCGTAGACTAATATGTTATATAATCTTAAAACATTTAAAAGATATGTATATTTGTTTATTTGATTATTGTATTAAATTTAGGTTGTAGATCACCACGTCAAGTTCATATTGGTAAAACAATACATGGTTCGGCAATTGAAGAAGGACATGTAATTCAAAGAGATTTGCTATCAGCCTTTGAAGAGGAGTCTGTCCCTTTACGTCTACAAATTCGTAATAACCCCATACCAGGTAAAATTACTAACCAAATATGTTTGTAACGAATTATACTAAACTCAAATTGAACGCTTTCATCCAGTTCATATTCATTTATAGTAATGTTTATATATTCAGATTTAAACATTCCGATTGACGATGAGGAATCTATCCCTTTACGCATCCCAATGCCAAACCCGTGCACACCAGGTACTCTTATGACCTGTATCTTTTCGTAACGAACGCTACCATAGTCAAATTTAACACTTGCACATTCTATTAGTTAATTATATTTTTTTGGTTCGTATACAGATTTAAACATAACAATTGACGATGAAACGCATAACTTCGATACCAGAACATCCTCTGTTCATGCAAATGGTATTTTTGTTCGTATACATATTTAAACATAGGCGATGCATGTACACTTTTTATGGAAGAATATTTAAACAACAATTTGTTTGCAGAAGAGTATTATGATTTCGGTGATGCAAGCAATAGTTGTGTCCATTGTGGGGTGTTGTTTTGGTTCGAGGAAAGGAAGAAAAACTATTCCTCTAAAGGTCCACCGATGTTTCCATTGTGCTGCAACAATGGCAAGATTAAGTTACAGGAGAATGCGTTGCCACCTAAAGGTATATTTGAGCTATTTTTCGGCAATGATGAATTATCAAAAAAATTCCTCCAGGACATCAGAACATACAACGCCATGTTTTGCTTCACATCAATGGGCGGAAAGATAGACAAGAGCTTGAACAAGGGCGGAACACCACCGGTGTTCAGGTTAAGTGGTCAAACTATCACTTAATGGGCAGCCTCCTACCAGAAGACGGAAAAGAACCACATTTTGCTCAGTTGTACATATACGATACGGCAAATGAAAAGAACAACCGTATAAAGGCTGTGAGGTAAGCATAGAACTTTTTTCCTATTAAAATGTTATGTTTTATCTATCAGCTTAGCAATGCATTGATGCGTGATTGTAGGGGTAGAGTTGATCAAGATGACATTCACGTAGAAATAGTGAATGTCATTCAGAAGGAGTTGGACCAAAATAATGTTTTGGTTCAGTCTTTTCGGATGGCTAGATCTGAGCTTGATAGTAACCCATGCGCTGAAGTCAAAATAAAGTTATTGGGGAAGCGCACTAAAGATGCAAGGACATACAACCTGCCTCAAGTGTCCGAAGTAGCAGCTTTAATAGTTGGAGATCTGGATACCAGTATTGGTGAGCGTGATATTGTTGTTCAAGCTAAAAGTGGGCAATTGCAAAGAATTAGTGAATTAAATCCTTCATACCTCCCACTACAATACCCCCTGTTGTTTCCATATGGTGAAGATGGATATCGGGAAGACATTGCATTCTCTAACGTACATAGCATTCGTTCAGCTGGTGGTCGACAGAGGATTAGTCCCAGGGAGTATTTCTGCTATCGGTTACAGACAAGAGGTTCTATTACCAGTACGTTGCTATTTGCAAAGCGCCTGTTACAACAGTTTGTGGTAGATGCATACACGATGGTGGAGTCTGGAAGACTCATTTATATCAGGACACATCAAAAAAGCTTAAGATGTGAATCATATAGTGGATTGACTGATGCTTTAACCAGGGGTGAAGTAAACCCTGCAGCACAAGGTCGAAGAATAATACTACCCTCAAGTTTCACAGGTGGTGCTCGGTACATGATAAAAAACTACCAAGATGCCATGGCAATATGTAGATGGATTGGTTATCCGGATCTATTTATAACATTTACATGCAACCCAAAGTGGCATGAGGTACAACGTTTTCTAAAAGATCGCAGGTTGAAAGCCGAAGACCGACCTGACATAATCTGCCGTTTGTTCAAGATGAAGTTGGATTCTTTGATTGCTGATTGTCGAAAGAATAAACTTTTTGGCTCTGTTGCTGGAGGTAATATTTTAGTTTCAGTTCACATTCATGTGTTTACAATTAAGAATAATTACCATATATTGATTTTTTTGGGGTTTCTGTTACAGTTATATATACAATTGAGTTCCAAAAGCGGGGTCTCCCTCATGCTCATATATTGCTTTTTTTGGGAAAGAATCAAGACGTTAGTGATGTTGTTACGCTAGATAAGATAATTTCTGCAGAGAACCAGATGAAAAGACAGATGTGCAATATTACAAAGCGGTGGAGGAATTTATGATGCATGGGCCATGTGGAAAAGCAAGGACAAATTCTCCCTGTATGGTAAATGCACGATGCTCGAAACATTTTCCTAAGAGATTTGTTGAGAGTTCTACATTTGATGCTGATGGATACCCGGTATATAGAAGGAGAGACAACGACAATATAATTACAAAGAATGGGATCGCATTGGACAACAGGTATGTTGTACCACACAATAGACATTTATTGCTTAAGTATAAGGCTGACATAAATGTGGAGTGGTGCAACCAGTCATGCTCAATCAAGTACCTGTTCAAGTACGTTAACAAGGGTCATGACAGAGTAACTGCAGAATTCTACAACACAACCGGTGATGAAGAAAAGGGAAAAGCAATAGATGAGATCAATATGTACTACGATTGTAGGTACATATCACCATGTGAAGCAGTTTGGCGTTTGTTTGGTTTTGATATACAGCTTAGGGCGCCTTCAGTTGAAAGGTTAAGCTTTCACCTTCCAAATCAACAGAGCGTGATATTTTCAGATGACGATCCTGTCGAGAACATTGTAAATAGACCAACAATAGCACAAAGCATGTTCTTAGAATGGTTTGAAGCGAATAAAACTTTCCTAAATGCAAGAGAGCTAACTTATATTGAAATGCCCACAAAATTGGTTTGGAAGAAAGATGTCCGAAAATGGCAACCAAGGAAAAAAGGTTTCTCAATTGGTCGGATATTTTATGTTCCCCCAGCTACTGGCGAAATATTTTATTTGAGGTGTCTCTTGAATAAAATATGTGGGCCTACAAGTTTTGAAGATATCAGGACTGTAAATGGTGTCATCTATGACTCATTTCGAGACGCGTGTTATGCAAGAGGTTTAGTTGATGATGATAACGAATATGTTGATGCAATTGAAGAAGCCAGTCATTGGGTGTCAGCAGATCAACTGAGGAGACTATTTGCTACATTGCTAATGAGCAGTTGCATGGGTAAACCGGAAAGTGTTTGGTATGCTGTGAGGCCACATTTGTCAGATGATGCACAATTCCATATTCAGAAACAATTGCACAATAGAGGTACTCATACATTCCACCACTACTTTTCGTTATATTTATATCACCATATAAAGTTAACTTAAATGTAGGGATGTTAAATATTAAATTCTATATAACATTATGCAGATTTTGTGTTGACCGATTCGCACAAGATGAACTTTGCTTTAGTGGAGATTGAAAAACTATTATCTATTCATGGAAAGAGTTTGAAGGACTATCCTGAAATGCCTGCTGCAAGCTGTACCGCATTACATATTATATCGAACAGGTTTATACAGGAGGAATTAGCATACGACTGTGTGGAAC